CCTCCAAACGACAAGCGGCTGAAATAAAACGAGGATTTCATTCCTCTCAGCGGGGAATTCGCGAGGTTTTTAAACGTATTTCATGCTATAATTTAGCCACTTCTTTCTCTCTTTCTATATATTATATTTCCGCGTTGAAAAAAAATTTCCTCTTTTCTCAAATATAACGATTAGTTCCGTATAAGAGTTTTTTTCCTCCATGTATTACATGTTGCAATATACGCGCGTTTTTTTAAGTCATTCCTTTAAGCGCGTTAAAAGTAGCCGAGAAGACACGCGAGACATGCAAAACACGTCGCGACGATTAATTCGCGCGAGATTTACCAGACGGTCTTTGTATTTACACGCACTCGCAGCACGGATGGAATCCCGAATGGGGAATCCGACGCGAAGGGTGAACAAAGGGCAGAAGGCGTCATTAAGGCTGAGTGATCGACGAGCGGGCGTCGGAAATACTAAGCAAGTACCGGTTTGCTGACTGGAAGCACGTGCCAGTTCTTGGCGCGGGGAGCAGTTTGCCAATTAATTAGAGCTGTTTCCGGTAGTGTCATCAGTAGGTATTGCCGATCCGCTGCCGCAATTAATTTCGACACTGCGCGTATTCGCAGAAGCGCGCGAGATGGTCGGAATCGCATTGTTCATTAGAAATTGCGTTTTTTTGTAGATGCATCGCGCGCAATGAAATTGGAGAAACAGCAAATTTGCAATTCAGTAAGAAATTAAAAAGAAACATATACAAAAAAACGATTTATTAACGCTAAAACAATCAAACTTGTCAAAATGATGTGAATTTTAGATTTCTTATTTTAAATTACAGAAATTATATTAAGTCACTTTTGTCAAATATACTTTTACGATATTGTGATACCATTTGCTAGTATTTCTAGATTCTCGCGAAATTATTGGGAGTTCTTTCGCGAAGTACACGGCGGCACTTATAGTTATCAGCTCGACGGAGCCCGTTATGGGACTTCAAAAATTTATCTGCCTTTGGGAAGTGTCTCCGCTATGCTCTTTTGCGAAAAGAACCTCGTCTCGCGCGAATCCGGCTTGCAGAAGCGCAAGCCCGCTCGGAAGCAGCTTTGCGATACTTCCGCGTCGGAGTTTCGTTTAAAGTTTCTCGCGCGTAATCCTGAAGTGCACGGTCTACGACAACTATGGCATTCTTCACGATTTTGGTAGCCTTTGGGAGAACCGAAAGTCGGAAGACAAGAGACACAAAGAAATAATCGTTACACGAAAAATAAAGGATTATCGCATCACCGCCGCGCAAAAAAGACACTTCAGAAACATTTTCTGCGAGAGCAAAAATACAAAAATTTTTGAAAAATAAAACTAAATAAATTTAAGATTTTCGAGTTGTAAATTTAATTCAAACTTTAATGCGCATTAATTTACATAAAAAAAAAATATATATATATATATATTCCGCGCGTCCAGCGTTTGGCTCTTATTTCTTTCACACAGTTGAAAAACTCGAAGGTTGCGCGAAAGTTTGCATTATAACATTGGAAAATGTTTCTATGTCATCCGTCAAAACGGCATGCCAGGAGGAAACCGATTAAGTTGAGTGATGGTAAAGCACTCGGTAGTCTTTAGAAAGGATATCGATCTTCCCGAGCCATTTTCAGACGCTATACACGACTGACAAATAGCAGAGCCGATCCCTTATAGCGGTCCTTAAAGACAGCAGCGTCAACGAACTTCGCCTTTCTTCAATGTGAAAGAGCGAGGTGACGCGAGCACGGCGCGACTTAAGGACGATTAATAGAGCCGCGTGATTAATAGCAGGGTGTACTTCTGGGCGTAACAAGCGGCGGAAGGTCGATTCGCTGTTTCTGTGTAAGACAAACAAATCTTCAAGAGCGATTCTCACACGAAGTATTCCCGGTGCGCGCGAAGAGAGAAGGTTTTCGAGCAAAGAGAGAAAGAGAGATGCGAAGGACAAAACGCGTCTTGCAACGATATCGTATATATACAGTTGCGAGACAACGGGACTAACAGGAAACTCGTCGAAGAGGAATTTGCAATCGACACAGGATGGCATCGTCGCGCGCGCGCGCGAGAGAGAGAAAGAGCTCTGTTAATTTAACTAAAACATTTCCCGACGTCTTTTCGCCCAGCGGGGGCAACGGAATTCCACGCGGAAAATTCTGCGACAGCAGCTTTCCTCTCGCCCTGTTTGCAGAGGATCCCTGTCGTCGTTGTCGTTTCCCGTAGCGTATCTCACAAAGTAACGGAGTATCGAATTCCGCTACTTTGCGACAAGAGGCGGACGCAGTCGGACACTTCCGAGATTCCAATATATTGGCCAAGATGGCAATTTCGAAGGTCTTCATTGCGGAACACGGTTCCGCACTTGTTTTAATCGGGTATAAAAGGAGCCTTGCCGTGAATCTCAGTCCACTGTCAATTCGCCAAATTGAACATTCCGTGAATTTGTTCCGCGATATCGATTTTCGAGCTATTGATTCCGATCTCGCAAATGTTTCGAAAGCTAAAGTTTCGATTTTTTATAATTTATTTATTTACGAGAAGAATATCCCACATTGAAAGAATAAAAAAATAAGAAATACAAAGTAAAAAAACTTTTGTTACGGTAAGACGAGATTTTTTATATATTTTATCGGTAAAACCATTTATCAATATTTTTATAATCGATCTCGCAGAAAGTGGATAAAAGTAAACAAATGACGAAATATCCAATGAAACGGGCAAAGAGCCATTTGTTCACGACTAAACATTACGTATGTACATCTCGTGTATAATTTAAAGTTCAAATTTATTCTAGCGTAAATCAAATATATTCCACAGGTACCCTTTGTTAATTTTTAGCAGAGCTTATACCGAGAGCTCGACTTAATTAATATAGAATTTCTGAAAAATTCCGCGTTTTATTTCCACCGGTGAGATAAAGCGCCTCTCGATGTATTGTAGAATTTATCCTCTGCGCTTTTTTTTCTCCTTCGTTGTTCCGCCAGACAATTCTGCCAGACAACTCCGCCACATGTCGAGCGTATTATTATTACTTAAGCACTTTTACTTAAGTAGTATAATTTAAATTGACAGAGCGCTCACGTGTTGTTTCGAAATGAGATTACGCGAAATGTCCGACTATTTTTGGAAGACGGAGTTAGAAAATGACAGAGCGACTTTATGTAAAGCGTTTTACGTAAAACTCGTCGTTTCTTAACAAGAAATTGTCTGCTACGACGATTATCAGCCAAAATGTTAACCGGGAAGCAGTAATTAGAACGTTTTATTGTGCAATTGAAACTCTCCACGTTGACAGAGATTTTGAAATCTAAAATGCGGCGCATTAAACAAACGGCCCGCGAGCGGGACATTAATTCACCATTACGTCACGGTAATCAAGTTAAATTTTCACAATGGGGAACGAATTTCATCCCAGTTGTACTGGCTGCCGCCATCAATTTTGCAGGTGCGCATGACGTTTACAATTCGCCTACATTAATTATTCCGGAAGTTCTCAGAATCCCAACGTTTCGCGCCTTCCGTCTCGGATAGCGCATCGCGCGCGCGCGTGTACATTTTACATACAGATCTACTTATCTGCGAAAGATTTCTCTGTTTCTCTATCTCCGTCTTTTGTCAAGAAAATCCGCTCATTTAATTTCCAAAAAACACCATTTCTTACAAATAAATTAACTTATTTGCGACGCACAGTGAGTTTTAACGTACGAATATTTTTTGTGAATTTGATATACTATTGCTGCACTATGGCGCACTGGACTTCTCTCTTCTCTCGCTATTTTGGATGCAACTTTATCACGATGGGACTGCAATTGCGCTTCTATCCGCGACAAATTTCGGTCTCGCGTATGCATGAGAAATCGATATTATAGTCGCACGTAGCGCGGGCAAATCGCAACCACGCGACGCCTGACTTCCGCACCCGGCCGCAAACTTGAAGTCATCTGTACCGGCGAAAGTAAATGCGCGAACTTTCGCCGGTGCAGATGACGTTTAGCGAGCGTTAAAGCTCGTTATTAGAGAGCATGTGCATATTTCAGTGGCAGCGCGCCTGCACACATTCGGACAGTATATAATACAGTTCTCGCAAGGGGAGAATTGCTACCACCCTCGATCGATATGCCGACAACGCAGCGGCGACCGACCACTCATATTGACCATTGTGAGTGTAATTTATCTTTAATCTCTCTTATCTGTATCTGAAACTCGATATAACGGTAATAAAGTTTCTTCTATACCACATTTTTTTAACTATTTAATAAGTAAAAAAGTTAAAAAAAAAGAATTGTATCACGCATTACTAAATTCACGGTTTATTGGCGTTTCAAATAACCAATAATAAGAATTCTAAGAAAACCATGTTATTCGGAATAACGGCTAATTTTGACAAGTCTCGATACGAGATTACGTCGCTAATGCCAAAACGCAGCGCCGTCAAATATATTGAAAATTCGATTACATCGAAAGCGATAGATCGGCTTAATCGAAGTAGTTGAAAATAGAATTTTGAACGGATTAATTGATATCCAGCGAGAGAGTTTATTGGCATAATTCAACTTGTGTGTGTGTGTGTGTGTGTGTGTGAAGAATCGTTTTCAAAAATAAAGCGGTATTCCGATTATTGGTTAATCGAGTAACGTTAGTATTACTGACGCACGTATATTATATTAGTACAGTATATTAGTACCCATATATACATTCTTTATGATAAACCCTTCGTTATTTTATAAGTATTACATGACTTCAAAACGGGAATTTAATCTCTGATAATGTGGAAAATCCGTTTATCGACTTCGCGAAGAGACTGAAATGTATTTAGTTTCTTTTGTATTAAGTTTTCACCAAAAGGATAAACGTGCGTTTAGAATTAATCGGTCTCTACAATTGCGCGCTTTTAATGTTTCATCGGGTTCTTCCCACATTTCAAGAGATTCCCTTCGCGATTGTTCGCGATTTTGTGCGAATTGCACGATCGATCGGAAAAGTCGTGCGATCATAAAACTCACCTCTGTGACTGCCGGTAATTTTGTCCCGTAAAATATTGATTTGATGCACACGGCCGTACTCCTCGAACATTGTCCTCAGGTCGTTCTCGTCCATGTCGTGAGGCACCTGACCCACAAACATCTTTATATTATCCGGATCTGGTTGCTCCACGCTGTTGTTGTTCATTATTCTGTAACGTGAAAAGGAAGTTTATGAAGCATATGCGGGTGTGTATATATTAAGCATATCTGGCTAGAAGAGGGGAAGGCGCAACACGCCGTTATTAATACCCATTAACAAGTCAAAAACTCTCGCAAACTTTAATATCAGCGCAGATTTACCGTATCTCGAACAGGCATAATCCTTATCTTTTTCTCTCTCGATAGTTTCTTTTCAATATACAAATAACAATATTGTAAGTAAAAAAGAAATCACCGCCCGAAAATACAAAATTTACACACATTATTATATTCACACACATATATATTGTCCACAGATGTATGTACTTGTCGCGCTCGAGTTTTATTTCATTTTGAATGTTTATGCGACTCACATACTTGTTTTTCTGTTATCATGCCCTCAACGCGTGTCAATATTTTTGCGAGTTTTAAAACAAATAGTGCCGCAATTCGGCCGGTTGATATAAATATATATTATAAAATTAACGCTCGTCGCAACCTTGTTAATAAATACAAATAATATTATTCTACAATATATTATACGTACTTATTTATACAGATATAATATTTTCTCTAAAATGCTTTCTATCTCTGAACAAATTATTATAAAAAGTAATTGTAAGCAAGTAAAATCTACGGATTTTATTATAAGAAACGTCGCTCAAAAAAAACACACTAACGCACACAGAGAAGTAAAACAATGAACAAAACGGTTTCGACGAACTGACTCGCTCAATAGACTATATCGCAGATTCAAAACTCAATTGACTATTTTGATTGAACATGTCGCAAAACGCGAAATATTCTCACGGGCGTCACGCTCGTTAAGCGAGCGATTAAAAAAAATAAAAAGCGATTAAAATATTAAACACTTTATGTGTGCAAAGTGAAGCAGAGAATGATTTTATTGCGGCGACGTGGCCGCGAATGGCTGCACAGCGAGTTAGAAGTTATCGTATTGGGAAACGGAAAAAAATATTTTTTTTTCGCGCGTATATTTTGTAAACCTGTTTCGCTATGAATATGGTTTATTTTTCTATGTACGGGGCACACACATGCGGACGTTATTGAATATCGTTTCGGCTGAAGGCTGACAAATTCGTAGTCGATTTGCCGTTAGCGAAAATTTGATGGAGATCCGTCATCAGTCAGCAACTTTTTAACTTTCCATTTTCAATATCCTCGGCGCGCGAATGTCAAGCACAATTTCTGCAAAAAAAATATCATCGAAAGCAAAGTGTTCGCACCGTTCGTATCGTTGTTTATTGTTTGGAAAAAAAAAATCAGATTGAGTCTCTCTAAAATTGATCAAGCAATCCAAGCGTAAAGGAGAAGACGGGGAAAACGTTCTCTCTCTATGCATATATCGTGTGTGTTTGTGCACGCGCATACATATTTCACGTAATTTACATATACGATGCACACTTGAGCTTTTCGACGGTATTTTTCGCGGAAAGTTCGCACACACCGGCTCGAACGCGGTGCGGGATTAACGCCGCATTTTGCACAGGCTGTATACGACGTATGTCGGCCATGGATATTTTAGCACATACAGCTGCTCGTCGCGTAAAAGACGACTCGTGTGTTTGGCCACCCCCAGAGTACATATTTGGCCGCGCACAGCCTCGCCGCCCGCTTTCGAAACTTACGCCGGAGCTTTTCGCCGGCACGCAGTAATTTCGCGCGGATTATGCGTGTTTGAGGTCGTCGGACGTTATACATCCCGCGGGACTGTACGACTGTCGCATTTCTCGATCAACGTGTGGCGCGCGGGAACGCCCCGGCACAGCTCGCGATATGTTTTCTCCCAATTTTATGCTCCGCGCTGACTCGCCGCCACACGCGCCGTCCGCGATTAATATTTTCACTCACGGCGATTGACTAAAGCTTGATACTCGGGTCAATATTTTTCGCCGTTTTCTCGTTCCCCATAAGAAATTTCGAACGAAACGTTACGCGCAACTGACGTATTTAAATACCGTTGCAACGACGCGTACAAATCGACACTGGTGTACACACTGGTGTTTAGCAGTAAATCATAATTTCTTTTTATCAAAGTATATATAAGATTAATAATTTTTGTTACATAATATCGCGTGCATTTGATTTTTCTTGATCATTTATTTTGCGAATGTCATTTTGCGCTTCGGTCTTTCCCGCTCTCGGACTCATGCACCGGGTGCGTGCCGTGGCGTTTTAACAGACGGTTAGTTCGCGTGAGTTATACTCGTCGTAGAACTGCGGCTGGTTATATGAGCGGGAAGCATTACCCGTTTCACGCTGCGGATGCGACAGTTTGTTGCGCCGTAAAATCGCTCGCATAAAGTTTGTCGGTTGAAATAGTGACCTGCTGCGCTTGTTCGCGACTCTTTTTGACTTTGCTCTCTCGCCTCGTCTCTTTCTCTCTCGTGCTGCTGTACATCACCGAGCTTCAACAGTCATATTGTTTCGGATCACAAGTTCTGATCAATCACGATGGCGAAAGTAAGTACACCTTATCGCGCGACGCGTGTTACCGATCTGTTCTCTCGTTACAAAATTCCAGACGCATCGATCGCGGAAGCGGGCAAGATGGAGAGAGGAAAACATTCGCCGTTTGCGGGATAAAACGAAGTTTACACAAAGCCGACCGTCCGAACAGTAAATAAGGAAATTTCGGAGAGAGCGTGCGCGCTCTCCCCACGGAAAGGAAGAGCTTTTTGCGATCCCGGGATCCGCGATGGGAAGAAGAAAAAGAAGAAAAAACAGAGGAGTTCGGGAATTTCGTGAAACGATAGGAGAAAGTTAATATTAGTCGGCGCGGTTTAAAGCGATTTTCCGCCCGAACGGTCGCTCTCTCATCTCAGTCTATAAAACGTAAGGGGAAGAGTCCCGGGCAAGAGAGCGGAAGCGAAGGAGAGAGTGTTCTACTACACTCAGGGGTGGGAAAGCTCTCGAGGGAGCTTCCGTCGCCTTGTCTATCCTCTTTCGCGCGGACAAAGACGATAGCGGGTTAACTAATCAAAGAACCGACTAAGTTAACTAAACGGGAATGTCTATCCCGAGCGGCGATTGGCAATCGCTTCTTCGGTCGCGTGCCGAGCCGATGGCTTCCTCGCATTGGATTAATCGAGATTTATCGCGAAATTTCGCAAAGCGAAATCTCTCGCAGCGTAAATACATATAGCTGCAAAATTTTCCGTCGCTTCCGTCAACAAGATCAAAATGCGGATAATTAAAGCGACACGTTAAAATTCAAGAGTTAATTACAATCCTAATAACGGCGAGGCAAATGACCAATTAAAACTGACATCACTCGATGAACCGTTTCGATCTCGACGAGCGGAAAGTTTGGTCACGAAAAGTTGGCCCGATAATCATAAAGCGCGAAGCTGGAGAATGTATTTTCGTGTGATCGCGTTGGTAATTAAAGCACGTTTTACCTTCGAAGTATATAGACACAAGTAATAATTAGAAATTTTCGGAACAGTGTTAAATTTTCATTATATCGAGGACAACTAATTATTAACATGCGCTCTATGTGCGAAATTTACTAATTATTAACACACGTGTAACATATTTGCCTGATGTCAACGATCTATATCTGAAGTTAAATCAATATCTGAGTTAATATTCACTCGGTGTGATCTCGTTACATGCAGTTCTGACGAAAAATATGTGTGTAACGAGCAATTTTAATAAATTACGAGAAATCCAAATATTAGCCAATTGCAAACCGAGCTCGTATTTTTCCCAAACTTATAATTTAAATGTAGAGATTTATTGCACAATTCATTTAAAACGTTTGTATGTGATAATTATTTTAAAGCAATTGTGTAACATATTAATTTATTAATTTTTATTTTACATCAAATGTGTGTTCATTTAAAGTATGTATTATGTCTGATTTTTCACAGATACGGTCGAAAGGAACGTCGTTCCGACTTTGTAAAGTCGCGTCGCTCCGGACACTTCCGGTGATCCCGGAACGTGATTTGTGGATACCGCAAATTGACTCCCGGTTACGAGCAAGGACGACCAGCGACTCGTAATCCCGCATCGACGTTGGCGTGACAGTAACTGCTGTTACGTATTTCCGGCGTCCAACGTTCGCTCAATTATCAGGCTATCGCGCGGATTAGTGCCGGTGGGTGTACATGCATCGCGATCGGTATCTTATCGGTAATGGGGAAATGCTGCTCCTTCCTTGCTGCGGGAAGGAGAATGGAGAGGAGCGCAGGGATAGACGGGAAAAGGACGAGAAACCAGAGAAGAAGCGAGGAGTGCGGCCTGATAGGCAAGGCACATCAAAGAAGCGCGATCCTATTTGCCGATCTTCCCCTCGTCCCGGCTATCGGCGTTTTATTTCTCTATGTCTCGAATTTTGCAATATTTCAGTCAACAATGTGTAAATCGATAACTTCAAAGATCAAATATTTGCGCACTTTTTATTATATATATATAACAAGATTAATTAATTTATTGTTTATTAATTTATTTATTAAGATTAATTAATTTTTTTATAGGGATCTTTGATTGAGAGAGATGTTGTTCAAGTTTGTCCATTAATACATTTCCTCATCTCTCATATAGCATTTCAATAAAAATTACTTCTTTTTCTATATGTATTTCAAGCAACTTCAAAAAGCAATCCTACAAAGTGAAAAAGAACAAAAATACTTAGTGCATTAGAGACAAAATTAATGTCGAAGCGCAGTAAGGCACGTATTCACGTGTGGACACAACATTCCTTTCAAGAACCCGCTATTTACCACCTTCAGAGAGATGAATGATGACTGTACAACAAGCCATTAATCATATGGTATAATCGACGCGTCGACGATTCGTCGTTACAAACAAGCGCTGAAGGCGCACGTATAGAAGCCGGAGCTGAAATTAATGATAGACACTTCACGTTTGAAGTCAGCGTTTTCGGCGATTCGCGGGGGTCGGGATAAGAAATGGTACTTAATACACCGCGGTCTCCTCGATAATAGCCGACAGTCACGCGCGAAATATTACGTACGAATTT